CACGACAAATTAGCTGTAGAATGCGGAAACTGAGATAAAAAGCAATAAATCGAGAGAATGTCCTTCACTCGGTTATCGTCTAATTGTTCTGTGACCCTATGGTTTTTCCAGATCGTTGTCGTATTTTTCCGACGACCAGATACCAAGGAAATTCAGATGTTAACGATCAGGGATTCCATCATGGTCGCGAATAGTGTTTCGCTTGGACGTTGATTGTAAAAGCCTATAGGGAAGGGCTCGTCCTGTGAGTTGGCGGTCTTAACCCCGTCGATGCTCATGTGAGTTCAGAACTGTGTACAGTGGGGATTTATTTACTGCTATAGTAGGCTGATTATTCTATTTGGTTCTAATCATACTAATGGGGACAGGTCTATGTGTTTGTCTTCAAACAGTTCTTTCCCATATGAAATCTTTTTTTATTGCTCAGGGATTTTTGAGAATAATAACAAGAATCAAAACTTTTTCATTTGTCGGGTTCACCTTAAATTTAAATATAGATTCTAAATAAGAAGCATCTCATTCAGTCTATCCAGATAGTGCTGTAATTTCAGTCAAGTGACCCTTAAAGCATAGACTGAGTCTCATTCATGAATGTTTGTGAGGAAACGTCCTATGCTTTTTTGGACAATACGTTGATGAATGTGGTTGTCGAAAAGTGAAATCTAAAGGTTGTAGAACTCGGAATATAAACTAGTAATCCTAGGGATTGTCGAATACGTACTGTAATAGTCACCACTGGAACAGCACTCAGATGAGAGGTAAGTGAATATGCTCGAAATTACTGTACTCGTTATTGAAATCAAGTACTCAATAATACACAATGTAATCATCATCACACATAAACAGTGTGACGGGACATTTTACTACTCCAAGAAGTTCCAGCAACCATGCTAAAATTCCGGAAAAAAAATCGCAAAAAAATGTAAAGATCTAGTTTAACAAATCTCCACAAAGTTACCTTACAGAACCCTCGGAAAGGATTATTGTAGCAAAATGTTGTCGTCCAAATTGGACTTTGCTACACATATCAGATGGCTGACGAAAAACTATCAGTTATTGCTTTTCACTGAAAATATCCAACTGGTACGCGCTTTTCAGAAAAACACTGAAAGCAATGCTATGTAGTGTGGAGTCGAGTCGAGGTTGACTGTGATCACCACTACAAGAAGGTAGCGTACCAGATATCAGAGAGGCGATTAGAGGTTGTAGCGAGATATATTTGTTGGCAATCTCATGGTGTCGAAAGAATATCGAGATCGTGCCAAAGGAGTACAAGTGGAATCACTGAACAAACGTAAGCACGTGCAGTCATAATCAACGGAAGAAAGAAGAATGTCTTTATTACAGTTAAACAAACAAGTACAGTAAAACAATCACTGGCACAATTGGTTATGCTAATAATTGTTTCCAATACACCAGTCGAGTTCTCTTGATAAAAGTAGGTCACTACAGACATTGATAATAACTGTTGTAGATACATTAGGGATTGCAATAATATTGTAATGTAGCAGTAAATAAATCCTCCAGACAAATAATTTTATAATTCTTTGACAAGGTGACCTATGTGAATATCTGGGCTACCCGTTACTGCCATCTGGATATTTAAACATGTTATATGTTTTCTTGTTTGTTTTAACACATCACTATGTATATTAGTTTCATAACCTCTTAGGTACGTTTCTGAAAAGTGTACAACTTTTCGTTATACAAGTTATAATCAGAGATATCATGATTTCTGGTAATATGTATCGAAAAGAGTATGCATTATTCAGATGTCCATTACTGAAATGCTGTCATCTAACTGGCGACCCCCGTCTTTAAATTATGACATGACCTCGCGATTCAACACGTTCGCACAGTATAATCCCAAAGATTTCATACAGTCTTACAAGAAGTCGAATCATGGTTGTAATCCGAATAGATAGGTCTTGATGCAAGCTACGTAACAACTCAGACAATCAGTCTTCTGGTGAATCCACACGCAAAACCCATATATAAATTGTAAAAGCAGGTGATAAAAAAGCGTAAACAGAAGTAAGTCATATAAAACGGATATGAATATTAAATTGGCAAGGTTAAAAAAACAAAGTACATATAAAGTTATTCATAATCATTTATGATGACTATAAAACTGCTATGCAGATAAAAAAAAGAAGGAAATTTGCAATACTTTATATTATATATTTATATCTATCCAAAAGTTGGAATATAATCGTTGTTACAGAAACTTGGTTCACCGTAGATATAGACTGTTCTCCTTTCATTGCTGGTTATATCTGTATCAGAAGTGATAGAGTTTCAAGTCGCAAGGGGGAGGTATAATATATACGTTAGGGATCACTTTCGTATACAATCAACCATATCGGAGGCTCATATCAGTGGCACATGTGAGGTTGCATGTTGTAAGATTAAATCTAGAAATGGGTTAGTGACTATAGGGGGAATATACCGTAGTCCGTCTTGTCTGCTGACGACTTTATCCTAAGACACATCTGTTCTTGGAGTATGGCAGAATGTTGTCTCATCATTGGGGACTTCAACGCACCGCATATCAACTGGATAGAGCTTACAGCTCCAGGTAGTGGTTTCGATAGCGACCTTTTATCTACCGTTATTCAGTGTGCACTTGTACAATGTATCACAAAACCGACACATATTGATTTGCATCATGTTCCGTCACTGCTGGACCTCGCCCTCACCCACCACTCTGAGGATGTCTTTGATATCCAGCACCTTCCTCCACTAGTGAACAGTGATCACGTTGTAATTCACTTTAAGTTTAGGACACATGGTATACAATTCGTATCTGCTCCACCCCGTCCCAATATCTGGCGAGCTAATATTCCGGAAATCAGAAACCGTGCTATCTCGACTGATTGGTCGGTCGACGCGGATGGATTGATCGAAGATGAATGGAATAAGTTTAAGGCTACATTCGAGTCCGTAACGTCGCCGTTTATCCCATGGTCAGCACGTAAGCTATCACATTGCCCTCCATGGATTAATAAGGAAACCCGGAAGCTGTTAAAGCGTAGGAAACATTTCTGGGACTTATTCTTGTTGACAGGTCATGCACCATTTAAGCGTGAGTATCAAAAATACCGTAATATCTGTAAGAAAACCATAGCGAAATCCCGTACCACTTACGAACGACAGTTAGTATATGATAGCCGTACTTGTCCGAAACGATTGTTTTCGTATGTTAAACGGCAAATGAAACGTAGTGATGGTATTCCCCCGTTGCTGTTACACGAAAATTCAGAATTACTAGCTGAATCAGATCGAGCAAAAGCTGAGACTTTTTCAGATTATTTTAGCGAAGTCTTCTCTACGTTTATTGTAACAAATACTTGTCCCACTCACACCGAGATACCAACCATTGAATCTGTACAGGTGACTGAGGAAACTGTCCTTCCGTTGATAACTAACCTCAAACCTGGTAAGATACCGGGCCCTGACGGGTTACATCCACGGTTGCTGTCATCTCTTGCGGACATTATTTCAAAACCGCTTGCGACACTCTTCAACATGTCCCTCTCACTCGCCCAACTCCCTAGAGATTGGAAGGACGCTATAGTTAGTCCTATATTTAAGGACGGTCAGCGACAGATAGTATCTAACTACCGGCCTGTCAGTCTAACTAGCATAGTCGTTAAGTTACTCGAAAAGATAATTCGGGTTAGGTTGCTAAGCCACATAGATTTACACAATCTGTTAGCTCCTGAGCAACACGGATTTCGTAACAAGCGTTCATGCTTGACTAACTTGCTTATTGCGAGGGAGGATTGGACAGCAGCCCTAGATCACGGTCTGTCTGTCGACGTGATATTCATAGATTTTAGCAAAGCGTTTGACAAGGTTTCACACGTAGGTCTTATGCAGAAGCTCACGAGCTTCGGAATAATAGGTACTGTACATGAGTGGATAGGAAATTTCTTATGTGACCGCAGACAGAGAGTTAGGGTCAATGGAACGCTATCCGATTGGAAGCCGGTCAAAAGTGGTGTACCCCAAGGCACCATCTTAGGCCCTCTGCTCTTCCTTCTCTACGTTAATGAGTTACCACTGTTACTTAGGTCGTCGACATTATTGTTTGCAGATGATGTAAAAATCTGGAGAACAATAAAAAGTGCGGCTGATCATGTGGATCTTCAAGCTGATTTAGACGATTTAGTTAGATGGGCTCGAGAGTGGGGCTTAGAAATCAATGCTAGGAAGAGTGTACTAATGCACGTCGGTCACGGTAATAGTTACCGTTACACTATTGAGGGTAAACCTCTTCCATGCGTTCAAGAGCATAAGGACTTAGGAGTAATATTAAGTCATGACTTAAAAACAACTGCGCATTGCAAAGCAGCCGCTGTCAAAGGTTTTCGTGCGTTATGGTCACTTCGCCGAGCGTTCAAATCTTTTGACGAGGAAACGTTTCGAATTTTATATCCCACCTATGTTAGACCACATTTAGAGTACTGTATCCAAGCAGCTAGCCCGTGTCTAGTAAAGGATACTAACTCCCTTGAGCGTGTCCAGCGTGTGGGAACGAAATTAGTGAAGGGTCTTTCTAGACTCCCTTACGATGAGCGCTTAAAACGCCTAAATCTTTTCCCCTTGTCGTATCGTAAGACACGAGGTGACCTTATGGGATCGTAAAATGGGATCCCGTTTTTCTCATCGAGTAGTCAATGATTGGAACGCCTTACCCGAACAAGTGGTACCAGCCCCATCAGTGAATACTTCCAAGGAGAAGCTGGACCTTCACTGGAAAGCAGTGTGTTAGGATTAATACAGGTTCATCAACCTACTATCCTTATTACTGAAGACTGAATAAACTCACATAGGCGTAGAATAGCTGCTCCAACTTTAAATAGACAGATGAACCTAATTTATAGACACTCTGATTGATTTTGGCGACATCAAAAAATTGAATAATAATTTCTAAGCTCATGTATCGAAGGGATATCTTGGTGTTTATATTGTTTATCTGTACCATTGATGAGATTAAATCTTAACTTCTTTTCAAATAAAGTACCGGTCTTCAAGGTTATGATCTCTTACTGTCATCCTAACGAATCCTTAAGTCATCCCTGGGCTAATAACGGTCTTAACAGATGCTTCGTCAGCACTCTATCTTCCAGCGTCCTTTGTATTTTATTTCTGGTTCCTGGATTCGTTCAGGCATACATCTACCGAAAACATGGTCAACCTATTACTAATAGTTTGAGATCCAGGTCTAAGTTCTTATACTTTCACATATTGTTGTCACTAACCATCCCATTTCTTTATCTCTCTCAAACAATGGTTTTTGCGTTCATGAATGACTTGGAGCATGTGTATGGATATATGACATATTCTGTTATAGTTATGTTTATCGTTTGGCCACTCTCTGCATATATTTTACGCACTGAGTGCTCCTACGTCCTTTTAAACTTTGAAGGGAGGAGTCATGGTCTGCTTCTGTTATGCTTCTGGACATTATCATTCCTACTAGCCTTCCTGCCTTTGGTATCCATTTCTAACAGCGACTGGTGGTGGAACTTGTCAAGGTTAGTTTTATCACTTGCGCCTGTTTTTCCAGTTTTGCCAGTCTGTGGCATTGTTTTTCGCGCTTTTTAGATGGAATAAGTGCCCAAACAAAGATTCTGCCAAATGTTTAACACATCCTAGAGCAATCTCCATTTTACAAATATTCTCTGTAATCACTACAATTCAGTCAAAGTATTATGACTACTGCAATTATTTTTTCTCCCCATTTGTGGTTCCTTAATCTTAGTGACCTTGAAAATGTACAATTGGGTGAATAGATTTTGAGCCAAAATCTGAGATCCATCATCCTAAATCTGATTGGTTTGTCCATAAATTATAGTGTCACCCAGTGCTGTTGACTTACCGTGATACTTTTAAAAGTAGACTTGGAATAAGCCATTATATTGTTATCTCCAATTAAAGCAGCAGACCGAGTTAATACGGTTGATTTAGTGATTCGATCATATTTTGGCAACCTTTCTTTGACAAGTTTCAGAATTGTTTATGGATAAACTGTGACAGTTGTGTTGATTCTCATCGATTTCTTCAGAGTTGCATCGTCTAAAACTTATTCGCCGATGTTTCACCATGGCAACCATCTAGACTGGGGATCAGTAAACCTAAAGACAGCAAATTTAACGTTCAATGGCATATTATTTAACAGATGTTATCTTTCAGTAATTTCACTATAATAACCCGATTTCCGAGAGATAATTTTTCCCTAACTATTTATACCTATACAATAATATAGAATCTTCATATGCCACTATCTTTGAACTACATTTGGAACAACCAACTTTTGTAATAATTAAGTTTTGGAAGTAATGAGCTTTCGTAATGTAGTGTGTCAATGGTTTACAAAACAAATCTCCAACTTCATCCGACAGATCGTTTCACCTGGTGTGTGTATAGACAATATTTATTTTTGTTGGTTAGAATAAAGTCCTATATAGCGTGGAACTAAAAAAATCAATGTAACAATGCATACTATTTCAGTATTAGATTGTAAGTAAACGTCCGTCAAGGCTGAACTATTTTTGACTAAGGCCATTTTTAAGTGACCAGTATCAATGTAGAGTAGAATAATTGATTGATTTGAACATTCTAAAAACTTGTATTAAGATATCATCAAAGGGTGTATTCGTTGGTAGATTTTTTTTATCTGTTTAGTGACTAGTGGTTTGTAAACCTCTATTTTAAGATGTTTTACTACCTCAAGCTTAAACTTTTTCCCATCTTTAGTGACGCAAATGTGGTCGAGTTCACCTTATGGGTTTTGTACGCTTTTTGTGTATCATTCGTCTTCATATTGGGTATATGGGCTCCAGGCCTCCCAAGCTACTTTGCAGTCTATGAGTTTCTCCAGTCGAATGGTCAAAACTCGTTGAGTAATGGAAATATTTGGGTTCAGCGCATCCGTAGGTTCAAAATCGTATCACCGTTTATCTGGCCAAGACGTCACAAGACCATACAGCTTAGAGTATTTTCTTGTTTTGTATTACTAATTGCTGGGCGAATCGTCAATTTATACTCACCAATTTTGTACAAAGATATAGGTGAGTTGCTAAAACAAGCATTTTAGTAATCAGTATTTTCTCTGGCTTATGACAGACCATTATTGACTAACAATATTATATATGAACTGTAGTGACCAATCATATGCGTTAAAATCAAACTCTTAAACTGCAAGATGAAGCACAATGATATCATGAAAGACAAACTTTGCGTAACCGTGAAGTGAACAAACGTTGGTCTGCTTGTTTTTTCCCCTTTTCTTTTCGATGTTAAATCCACCACAATCTGTTTTTTCATACCTAAAATCATTTTCCATTTTACTGTTTACGAAATCCATTTATTCATTTGTCTTTGCACTTTAGTAAACAGTTTGTCCGAAGTTGACAATTCCACCGGAACATTATCTTTTGAACAGAATCTCATCATGAAACCATCTCCGTATACGATATTTACTGCTGTATCCAGTCATACTGGGTTGATTTATCGTTGGGATTATGTTCTTTTATTTGCTTTATTACGGTTACTTCAAGGGCTGGGTGGTTTAGGTGCTGGTCTTATATCTGCTTTACGTTCTCAATTATGGATAGCAGTTGATCAGTTTTCAACAAGAGAATTAAGTGTAATGCTCTTCAAACATATCCAAAGGTAATTTAACCCAAATATACGTATCTTTACAAATTTATGTTTTCATACCATTTTGTACTTGATGACTACTCCTTTCGACTATTAGTACTTGCCTGTGATCGTTTAGTTTCTTGAAACCAGAATAATTTAATTATTTTTGTAAAAAAAGCTCTATACCTTTCTACAGCATACTCATACAACTATGCACTTGAGTGTGCTTAACAATCTAACTAACTTGGATAACTAAAATTCACAAATAAAATCTGTGAGTTTCCTTTCCAATCCCTAGGAAGTCATTAAAATAGGTTCTCTCTTAAGACTTGACCCTTCTTGACATAGTTCACCGTAGCATATACTAAGTTAGTCTATATTCACCATTGTTAATTAAAATGTTTTGACCCATACCTTTTATCAACTTTCTTTGTGATCAAATCGTATTTAGACTTACCAGTTAACACGAGCTATTTTCTTTGCTAGCAGTCGACACGAAATAGGTTTGGTCTAAGAATGCTTTAACCAACAGCATTTACAGTATTTTAATCTTTTGTGACGTCTAAAGGTTGTGTATACCGATTAACAACTTTTTTCAGTAGATTTGTTTTTGTATCTTCAGAAAATATATCTGTCATCGTTAGTCGTATTATCAAAAGGTGCAATTGTTGAACTAACAGTTAAACAAAGAATAACCAACATGAGTTTTCAGAGGAGGGCGTTTAGCCTAACTAACAATTGGTTATTTTATACCTACCAATCAGGATTAACAGCTACTTCAAGGGCTCAAACTCATTACAGTAAAGTGGTGCGTTTATCTGTTTGAATCCACAGTTTAAATATCTTTGGATGTAAATCATATTTGCTGCGATGTTTGATAGGCTTCTCATGCAAGCAAATGGGTAAATTATGTATTGTGTTTGTGAAAAATATTACCTGTAGCCTGACTTATCACCTATGTTTTATGGACAAAAAATGATACTCGTTCGGTTTCTATAATCGAATCCGGGAAAAATATTAGCTCGTTTACTGCATTTAACTCTGCTTATAAAATATATACACCTGTAGGTCTTTTCCTATGGGAACAATACATTAAACAGGTATAAATTTCCCATCGAAGGCCCATGACCCAATCACTGAAAAGTGATTATTTATATTATTCATTCACCTAACTATTCGATACATCAGATGTAAGTGTGCAAAAACCTATCACCTATTTCTAGAAATATTTTACGTGTCTTTTGTTCTTTAAAATCACATCGTTGACAGCCAAGTTCAATATTGAAATGCAAAAACAAGATACGAATGCGAAACGATATTACATTAGTGCCACTTAACTCAGTCAAGACTAATTGTAATGATATAAAGTTGCTCCGTAGTAAAACTCTGTAAATCAATTTAATTGCTCATCTTTCTCAAAGGTGTTGTACTCATTTATTTGTGTCTATTTAAAAGATCTATTAAGTAATCCTACCTTACTTCATCATAATAAATAGCGATCATCATCAGATATCAAATATTTTATTTGTTATTAGTTCAGTGCTCTGTTAGCTAAATCACTCAAAGTTCAATCAATAGGTTCCAATTTCGAACCCTGGCTCACTCTGATTTTCTCAACTGGACATCACCTCACTTCCTTACATCAAACAGTGTAGCTTTAAATCGAGTACATCCATTTGTACATATTAAATGAGTTAATTAACTTTAAGTAAGCTTTATTATTGAATACCTACTGACTATAACTTCATCTTCAATTTCTTGATACCACTGTTGTTTTTGAGAGCTTTTTCAATTATTTGATTTTATTTACAGAAAGTATGGCTTTACGAGAAACTGCTTATGGTAATGATAAAATTTCTTACATGTCATCAAAGAAAGCCTAAATCCGGTTTAATTATCATGATCATTGAAATTTTTGCCATTCATTTCAACCCAAATTGCTTATTCATCCACAACGTACACATCGTTGGAACTGCTAAATGAATGTCCTCATCAGTTGTAATATTTTCATAAAATATGAGCAGCAAATCTAAACTGATTTAATGAACATATTTATTTCGTGGGTTTCTACTCAGCCTTTTACAGCCGACTATCAATTACAAAACCTATATATCATATTTGAAAAAGATAACTTAGATCATCGATATAGATTTTTAGAAATAGAATAATAATGTCATAAAATAACCAATACCAACTGCAAAGACGATTGACTAATTGGGTAAAATAAGCAAATCACAGATAAGAAACAGACTAATAACAGAAATTATAACTTAATGCATAAATTATAATGTGACGCAAATTATTAATAAAGACTGGGATTACTAGGGTAATTTAAAAATGACCTTAGCATTATTTTGTTCATGAATAAAACTAATGAAAAACTTCAATAACGATAGTTTTAACAACAACCAAACAATCTTTCGATTACTGATCACATCATGTTCACTAGTAAATGAATAACAGATGATTGTACTGTTGAAAATATGTTAACTTTGTTATTGCGATTTCTGTAGGAAATTCTCGGCTATTGTTAACGTGATCTAGAGGTTAAGCGTCCACTCGCGAGACCGAAGGTCCCGGGTTCGATTACCGCGTCTAGTCGTGAATGCGCATTACTGAAGTGTCCTGTGCTAGCTCGAGACGGCCATCCAGGTTTTCATTGGTGGTCTAACGTTGATCCGTTCATAATCCCAGCATAAATATCCTTTGACACACATAAAAAGTGATAGAAATAATCATACAGAGACACTGTTTCACTTTCAATTCTTAGTTTTTTGTTCTAACCTACAATCAATCAGCTGTACAAACAATTCTTACAACTTTACCATATTTGTTAATTGTTTACTGATCTAACTATATGTTATCTGTAACTGTGAGCAAGACGTGCCTATAATTAAATACTAATAATTTTAAATTATGAGCGGTTAAAAATAAAAATCACTGAAATAAGTAAATTCATTTCATTTTACTATAATATTTGTTTTGAATGTATACTAAACTCTATAAAAAAGGAAAGGACTGTCATACCTATCTTGTGTTATATTTAAATGGTAGTCTAGCCTTCAATAAAAAAATTATCCAGAATTATTTTTAAATACGTTATTTATTGGCTAATAGTCTTTTATTCAAACATAAGGGTTATATAACATCTCATTTTACTTTGTTCAGACTTTCTTTAAAATGGCATTTATCCAGAAAAACTGGTGAGGTGTTAAGAGTAATGGATCGTGGAACAGCTAGCATTTCAAATATTCTATCATATCTTGTATTTAATATCATACCAACTGTATTGGATATAATCATTGGTGTAGTATATTTTGTCACAGCTTTCAATATTTGGTATGGATTGTTAGTTTTTGTGACTATGCTTATTTACCTTAGTAAGTTATTTATTTTCATTTATATATATATATATATATATATATATATATATATATATATATATATATATATATATATAACTTAGTGAGCTACAATATAGTGTTAACTTATTCCCAGTGTACAATTGGTGGTAGAGAAAATTCTATCATGACGTTATACATCTATAGAGTACTTTCGCGGAGATCTTAAAAGGCCTGATTCATACACTCACTTTTGATAGTGAACCCATAAATATTGTCAAAATATTTATTCATCTAAACGGTTGTATAAACTTGAATAATGGTGCGAAAATGACATGGGTTTGTCTATAATCCAAGTCAATAAGATATTAGATGTGTATGATATCCCGGACATTTCAATCACTGTTTCAAAGTACGGATAATCACTGGTGAACCGAAAACAAAAAAATCGTCGATGCAGAATATTTGAGGTTAAGAAACGATTTGACAACGCTTATACTGACTTTAAATGACTTCTAGGGACGGTCAGAAAAATAGAAATAAAGATAGAGCAAGTATCACTGTTATAAATGAAAATAATTTTATACAATTTAAGGTAAGGTAATGTAAGTTTCTAATGACTTTAACACACGAATATGTATTAGAGAGATCATGCACTTTTTTTTCAGGATAACATCAGCTGGTGTTAAAGTCTATACAATATGACTCTTTTCTGAAACAACAATAAAAGTATTTTACTCTCCTCACCCCTTAGTCATTCTCTCTACAACTAATACAATACCACTTTGATATTCATCTAAGGCTGATACATATGTGCTATGTTCTACGTTGCATATAAGTGACTGAATATTCCCAAATTTTACTTCATTCTTCTCTAAGTTGTTTTGTAGGGAACAATTTCTTTTGTCTTCATCCCAATTAAAATTCCCATAATCACACATTAATTGCATGATGCTATGTTAAAATTAGATGTTTGTAATCCGTTTGACTAATATTACTTATTTTTGGCTCATAATTATAATATAGTTTCCACAGTGCTAATTACTGAATGGAGAGCGAAATTTCGACGTGAAATGAATAATTTAGACAATCAAAAAAACACTAAAGCTGTTGATTCAGTGTTGAACTTTGAAACTGTAAGTCATGATAAGTGTTCTTCACATTATGATGTATTTGAACGAAATTACGTATTATTTTGTAATATAATCTTTTTTGTCCCACACCTGATCATTGTAAATAAGTTATTTAATACTACTCGATCGAAATTTACTTATTTCATTGTCAATCAGAAGTATAATACTAGCTGATGTACAACTAAACAAAATGTGCCAATATCGTCAATAAACTTTGTTGGGAAAACCCAGAAAATTCCTCAAAGAAGCCAAAAAGGGCTCTAAAATCGCTGAAAAACATCTTATCTAATCAGCATTCAATAGAAGTTTGACTAGAAACATCTAGAAGGTGGAAAGTCACATGCTGCGTCTCTGATTGGATGATTATACTGCTACTATGTTCAATAGCATTCCAGACTTTTCCAGAAGCCCAAGGCCATCTAAAATGCTATAAATACCTTAGATTTTCTGTACATAAACGAACCTTGGAGTAAGACGTTTTTTCCATATTTCTTGCCTTTTCTCTCGTGTTCAAGTTGTCGTTTAGATCAAGCCTCGGGGTTACTAGAAGAGCTTAGGAAACGAATCTAGCCTTCAATTAGAAGATTTATGAAACTTAACAAAAACCTTCGGTTTATAAATGACCAAAACACAACTAGTTCAAGTTTTTGAATATTATAAATATTTAAACTATAATTTTTATAAATATCTTAGAAAATCTCAAATTACAAACTTGTCTGATTCACAAATCAGAAGGTTTAAAGTTAATCTTACAGTATGTTTATGGTATAAATGTTGTTGGTGTTTCACAGTTCATACTATGACTTTATCAGTATAAACAATCAACTTTTACTCATTATCAAAATTTACAGTTAATGTACTGGTTGTTTACCAAGTATATCATACTCAGCATTTTCAATCATTCCTCCATTTATTAAGGAGATGAGTATTGCACTTTAAAGTGTAATTTTTACTAAAAATTTCATTTAAAGCAGTTGGAATTTCTCACAACTGTCTATCATAAACATTCCAGTGTAGCGCAATCAGATATATGGGATTAAAAAAAAATACAAACATTATAGGGGTTAAAGTTAGAAATGCAACACTTAGTGACTAGGTAAATGGAATATTGGAAGCTTTTCATGATGGTCTCGGACAAATTTACATATCATATATGGGTATATTTTAATCACTACTCTCTATATTACCGTTAGAAATGATATCTATTATTTGTCTACTTTTAACTCTACTCTCTACATATTTATCATTTAAATTTCATCTAAACTTATACATGCTAAACTAGTAAGACACAAATTGTTACCATGTCCTATTTGACAATGTTCATTTTTATTATAAGTAATAAACATTATTTTGGCTTTCTTCGTTTATTTGTTTTTTTATTTGTTGGTGAACTAACTAGTTTACTAACAAACATGTTACAATATGTTCATAGATAAACATTAAAAATCGAGTCTTACCTGATTGATTTCATTCACCAATTCAGTTTTCACTTACATCACATTGGGATTTTGTTTAACCATAATGATTTTCAAAAAACAAACACTATCTGAATAAAACATCATGGTATTGTGAATCGAAAAGATTTTATTAATTGACTCTTGTAATAGGTAACCTTAATTCAATGTCAACTATTATTCTCTCTTTAAATTAAACATTTAATCATAATTGACCGTAGTTGTTTAAAATTATTCATTCATCGGATTTGACCTATTTTAAAACTGCTGAAGTGAACTTAGACTTGGTGAAAATAACCAATTTATTATTTAATTCAAGCTTACAGTGCTTTCGTAAAATATGAATACAATACATTAAATATCTAATTTGCACATATTCCATCAGTTGTCCTTTGCATACTTCATGATTCTCTCAATTCTGTTGTTATTACAATTACTTTCTTCCCTTTCTGTTCTCTTCAATTGAATCTTCTGAATCTCCTGGTGACATGTATTCCACTTCCAACTGATGCTACATACTACTTATATCTGTCAACACAAGCAGCATACACCACACTAATATCAATTTTTACCTTAATGAACTAATTATCAACACGTAATTGATATCAGAATTTAATAGATTAGATTTAATAATATTCAATCAGATGTTTTCTTTTTTTATTAATCATATTTTACAGGTTAAATATTATAACGCTGAACAATTTGAAACGGATCGTTATAATCAAGCATTTTTAGATTATCAAAAAGCTGATTGGTGGAATGCATTTACTTTAAATCTACTTAATACAGTACAAAATATAGTAATTAGTGTTGGATTTATGTTTGGTGTATTGTTATGTGCTCGAGATGTTGTTAATGGAGTATTGACAGTTGGACACTTTGTTTTATTTTGTACATATATTATTCAACTTTATTCACCATTAAGTATCTTTGGAACATATTACAGGTTAGAAAGAAATTTTAATGAAATTGATGAAAATCAGCCCAATATTTTATTGTTTTCGATTAGTATGAAATACTGTCGTTTGTTTTGAACTTATTAGTTAAATTTGTCTATTGTATCTTTCATTTACTTAATGAGATCATAAGCCAGAGAACGAAACTCCTCTAAAAAGGATAACGAAGTATTGTTTAAGTAGATAATTTGTCGAACTTTGCTTCAAGGTGACCAGAGGTAGTTATCTTTTAGTTCAACTGCATTCGATTGTAGTTGTGATACCACATGAATTAACTTAAGTTGGAAAGGAGAATATTGTGGTGACGATTCAGTACCCTAAAATTATGATATCCGCTGTGAAACCAAACGTTTTTTCGATTCAATTTGAGTCTAGAGTCATGTATGAGCTTTCCCGACAAGTCCTAAACTCTAATTAAATGACTGTCCAATATGCTTTCAATAATGTTTTAACTGCACATCTTTTTGTTACGATTAATGACATTACCAATGAACTTATAAATCTCACTGAATATAGTAGAACATGAGTCTATCACCTACAAATTGAAAACAAAATACTTGGAACAATGAACCAAAACTGTATGCATAATGGTTTACATTTTCAAAAATTAAACCTAATCATAGTTTAAACTTGAATTTTTCATTAGGTGTTGAAAATACCATTAAATAACGTAAATTCTTTTCATGTTCTTTTCTATCCTCTGTATTGTATACTATTCTATAGTATATAAAATAATATAATACTTAATTACTAAACTTTCAATATTGAGTTTAAATATTTTTGTTGTTCAATAACACACTTTCAAAGAATACATGGCATTGATGTTAAGGTCAGTATTAATACTGATGATGGATTGTTTTCATGAACTCTCAAATAAATATGAATTAATTTTATGCGATTTACATTTTCCTTGATATAATATCTACTGGATATGAATTTTGGTTGTTTTTTTAAACTAGTAATTCATACTGAATCTATTGAATAAATACCTAAATGGATATCATTAATAAATTAATCGACAAAATCGTAAATGTATTGATTTTACAACCACACATGTCTAATATTTTCGTCACGTCAGGGTATAGACAATGATTCTAGTCTTAAGGTTCTCACATCCCTCAATGAAACATTTGATCCACTTAATTAATTTTCTTCGACATTTTGTAATTATCAGCAACTTTCAAAAGATTTCCTAAATTTCATCAAAAACTACCGGTTTCATCTATATATTTATTAGACAAACCATATAAATATTTACAACTATATTTCGAAAGTAAAAATGTCACACATTTTCATGATGTTTGAAGTAGATATCAACTTTGAATCATTCACCATTTTACTATACATTAAGCAAGATTATATCTTTCTGTGAATAAAATAAATACGTCCGATTTAGCGTAGATATGTTGCTGTTATTAATGCTAAACAACCATCTAAGTGTAGTAAGTTTGAACATTCAAATTAAAAACATGCTAGGAGATTTGTGTTATCGAACTTTTCGTTTCGACTACAATGGAATAATGTAAAACTGTTAGACTTGTATTCCATATATTTACCTTTAAGTTTCACAAAACAGGCACATCGTATCGAAATGGTTTGTAATCAAACTAGGAAATATTTCGACTTCTGATAATTGCCATCAAATAAAGTCTCTCCGATTCTTTACATGATTTGTAAACTTATCTTTGTTAAATAGAGTAATATTTACTCAGTCAGTGGACTGATCTGTTTACACTAAACACATTTTCATCACGATGTTGATTGTGTTTTCTGATTTATATGTAGACTTTTTATGTTTCTAAATGAGAACTATGTATTGTTTCCGTTTTCTCTTTCATTTAATCGTTTTCTTTAATCAGTATAACAAGTTAAAATGGTATTTTTGACTTATTAGATGATAGTCAGTCATTGTGGTACTTTTCTGATACAGTAGCAATTGAAAATTCAATACAATTCAGACAAAGTTCGTGGATTCATGCACTGGGCCACAGCTTTCGTCTATCGTTTGAGGGCCAAATATACTAGTCGGTTTCCAAACCTTTGAAATATAGGGTAGAATTTTGATCTATAATACGATGGTTGAAAATTGAATGATAGCACCAACGAGTAGAAACTTTACAACCTTAGAGCTCTGTGACCATTAAATCTGTTATTGTTTGAATCCTTTATTCGTTTAAACATAAAGAACTCTGATAATTCGTTTGCATGGATTGTTTTTCCTAATTATAACACAGTTGCTGTTTTCCACTAAAATTTCCCATCCGTTTAAAGAAGTTATAAAATCTGTGGAAATGCCGCGAGTCCAACTTTGAAAGCGTCTACTATGTTGTTTCTTAGTGTGGATTCAGACATTCAAGATCATTTATTTATTTAGTTCACAGCTTCGTTCTAAAGAAAAACTGTTTCTACTTAAAATGTTATGAAAATAGATATATCTTGCTGAATTCCACTTGGGTAGAAATAACCTTGAACAAGTTATCCATGTATACTTTCAATTTCCTGTTCTTTTTACTTCGATAGACAGTATCTCGTTGTTTCTTACCATTATCGTCATTATCATTATTATCTATTTTTTAACCAGGCTACTACAAACAAGCTTTATTGATATGGAAAATATGTTTGATTTATTAGAACAAGAATTAGATGTTGCCGATGCACCGAATGCTCAAGCATTAATTGTCAAAGAAGGTGCTGTTGAGTTCAATAATGTCTGCTTCTTTTACAACCCAGAGTAAGTTTATTTTCTATCAAAAAATTATGTGATATTACTTCTCTTTCCAATAGTATGACTAACCTAAATTCCTTCCGAAATAAACATCCATAAATGAATGTAAAGGGTTTGTGAAGATTAATGTTTCGCTATTAGTATTAGGAACTGATCTTGGTTACACACGCAGTGAGGACCAGAAAGCACTGGTCGGTCGTGACCAGCGAAGTTGCCCACTATTCGCTTTGGAATAGGATAGTTCAATACCTCTAATTGATTAAGGTTATAAATATGGTGAACCATTGGATACTAGCTCAGTGTTTTGAAGGTTAAGCGCTCACCGTGGGACCTACAGATCCTAGATTTGATTTCTCGTAGACATGCGCCGCTAAGTGTTCCTACACTAGGACGGTATATTTGTCAAATTGTTCCTGGTTTTCAGTGGTTATCTAAGGTCCTTTGTTTAATCAATCAGTTGCAAATAATAAAAATCTGTGATGAATTGGTGTCGTTCAAAATCGTCATATTCTTATGTCATCACGTTAAAGAGCGATTACCAAGACCTGAATCAAAAATTGTAAAATAATTATCAACGACAGTAAAAAAATTGAACATATGGAATATAACTGAAAGGAATGAATAAAATCCGCTACTAAAAACTACCAAATAATATTAAACTCAAGGTTCAAAATAAAATGGCGAGTGTATGCATCCGTCTCACTGAATCTATTTTTAAAGCTTATCGTCTAAATTTTCTAATTATAGGGTATAATTATTTTACGGATGATAACTTTAAGGTCTAACTTTCTGATTGATATCATGTCGTAGTTCGATCATCTGTATGGGTCTTTCAACTCAATTCTATCCCAATCAGCTTGATATATTGAGAAGAAATTGACTAAGCACGTGTAGTGATTTTTAAGTCACTTTGGTCGATAAAAGTACATAGTCTCATCAGTTGGCTTGGCTGCTCTATTTAGTACTGTATGTCTTATCTCAGCACTAATCGCTGGCTCTGTCATACATCTAAGGTCAAATACTTGATTAGTTGTAACTGTTGTTGCAGTATACATTTTTATATAATTTCTTGAGTTATCAACATCAACCTTTTGCAATATGACGTTTTCATGCTTCTTACTACTTCAACCTTTCTAAACAAATTTTAAAGAGTAAATAAAATGACCTAAATTTATACTTTCCATTAGATATAGAGCATTAATCTTGATAGACATTTGGTTTTTTAACGCAATATTCTCTTAATTATTACTTACGTGACGTTTGACTTAATAATTCTTACATCTAACCGGTATTTTCAAGCGTTATTTACTCATAAAAGATCTGAGCTGGAGTTTCACGACTAAGTATAACACCTCACTTTCTAATCGACAATTATATATATATATATATATATATATATATATATTCCTTGAAAAGCTGCCGTCAAATGTATTGGTAATGTGTACAGTGCATTGTAAGTCTCTCATGCATGAAGTTCGTTTATCTTATGGCATTCTTGTGAACGAGAAGCCACGTGGAGACAATCAATTGTATTTTGATACAGAATTACAGAATTCTTTCGTCAAATGTAAAAAACCTGCATTCAATACTTCATTTGATAATCCTCCAGCAATTGCATCAAACCTCATCGTTCCTCCGTTGCCATGACAATTACTTTCTGTCCTCTTCCATCCGATCTTCCCAACCTTCTACCAGGCATTCCACTTCTGATTGGTGTTATCTACTATTTATGTCAACATCAGTAGCATACACCACACCATAACCCAAATAGTTTGTACAACTGATAAATTATTATAATCGTACTTATTAAATTTACTAATCTTAAAATGGATAAGTACTAAAATAAATTACCAATTAACTAGTATTGGTCAAATAACTAATCAATTTTCTTTTTGGATTACAAAACAATACCTAATTGTTCACAGTTATTAGATAAACAGTGAATAAGTACATCTTTCTAAATAGTTATCTGTTTGTATTTAATGCATAATGTTTTCTTAATTTATGTATGTACGTTGTAGTTTGTTTTTTAGACAATCTTTATACTATAATTAAGCCATCTTGCCATAATTATGATCACGATTATGATTATCATTAATAATAATATCGTTGTAATAAATGTAAAAATGTTTATTTTATTGACTAATTTTTACTCACGAACTAGTAATTCTTTCCATGTTCATGGAGCACTTTTGGTGCTGATCGCGTTCTATCGATCAAGTTGCAATATGGTCATCAATCGAAATGACTATATATTCCAGCGACCATCTTTGAATGTTAGGTAGTTCATGACAATTGTGAGGAAGTTCTTCACCGAGGCTTCATGTTAATTAGTATTAATCGTTAAGGTCAATTTGCTATCCTAAGAGAAATGATGCTTTTTTTTTACCCCGAATCACTTATCATCGAAATGTAGCAGGATTCGACTTACGTACTATTAGATAAAAGTGTTGTGATGTGCAGTCGTCCGAGTTAGCTACTGAAATTTTCGCTTCCTCTATGCATACCCAAACCACCTACTTGAGTAAGGAAATCAAGCGAGAATGGGAAGCTTTTATTGGTTAGTAGATTCGAAAATATATGCACAACTTATGGAAATTTATTTGCTTCCTCCAATCAAAGCAAGAGACAATCTAAACAAATATGGAGACAGTGAGGAGTCAAAGTCCATCAATAACCAACCAAGATAAACATTGACAGGACAAGATTTTAGTCATATGTGAAAAACTTCGAAACAAATTAAATTTTATGATGGCTAGTACTAATATTGGGCTGCCTAAAGTGAATTAAATCGAGCGGAATTCAAACCTGGATTTTATTACTTGAAAGTAAGATTGACACAGCCACTAAGACAGACTGTCGTAAGCAACGTAGAACCTAGGATATACGTGCATCGGTTCGAGTTGCCATACCATATGAGCGCAGTGCGGTGAGATTATTCAACAAAATTCAAGAGCAGTAGTGGTATCAGTTGTAATAGACAAGATTAGAGATAAATAGTATGTTTCAAGAAAAAATGAAAAATTATTCCAAGACTGAAGATCTAGGTGAAGACAGAGTAGATATGTCTGCATCACTACATCCCATTCTGGACCTCGTCACCCAACGTCTGCAACTACCAGTTGCGATAGTCAATCAAATCCCAACCAAGTAGTATGCATCTGCTGGACAGTATACTCATCCGATTGGCAGATGGACATGTCACCTGATCCATAGGTGATGGAAGTTATCAGAATCGAAGTGAACCTTCTAGATCCGTACCGATGTTTCTTCCGATGCAAACCCACGAGGACTGATGAGACTCCCAAGATGATTGAAGTGGTCTATGTGCGCGACTACTTCATTGGATATTGTTACTGCGGACCAGTTCCCAAACAATATTTTTGATCTAGAGAGAGAGGGGGGAATGGATATAAAACATTGTTACATTGTTGATCAAGGCAATCAAAGACTGCATTTGTTTCATCTACAACTGCAACAAAGTACTCAGTCATAAGTTTGATTGCTTTGTATTCATTCTAGAACTTGCACATGAGAATTTCGGTGGACAATACACCAACGTTGTGTGATAGTAACTACAATCCTTAATTGTATAATGCTTCACAATTTTCTGTATGTTATCTGATTACATACCCCCGTAAGGATTCATAAAGATTATGAATTATTTCGAGGTTTATTCACAACATGTGTTTACCAATTCACTGATGACAATCAAGGTATGCTGAGAGCTTTTTTACCAATTCCGTGTTAGTCACTTCACTGTTAAAGTGAAGGGAAGCCCAGCTAGATGTTTACCCATAATTTAGAACATGCTAGTGGTCACAGAAATTTACTTTCCTGATTTGGAATATTAAACTTAATTCAACTCAACTTTCAATCAAGAAGAATCTTCTTACATCCCAATTTTATACATGGTTAACTGCCTTCTTATTTCATTCAGGCGTCCAATTTTAAAAAATGTATCATTCAAAATACCGAAGGGTCACACTGTTGCCTTGGTAAGTGATAATTTAATGTCTGTTTAACTAACAAATTTAACAGTTTCATTATTCTATAATCAACATTTCGACAATATTTCATCCGCTTTGAATTTTTAATTTTCATTATCGATTAAACTAACCTTACCAGGTGCTTATGCATCTCGGTTTGAAAACACAGCAATTTGTTCCCTATTCATAATCAACATCTTTATTTCTACTAGATTCACATTCTCATGGTAGACCAAGAAGGTCTATTTCGCCAAAGCCGTTTAGCTCATAAAGTACTAGTATCAAAGTTGAGATTTGAAAAACGAACAGGTGAATTAATGATTTATTTAGTATTTAAGATACTAAAATTAAAAGGAAAAGAAGACTTCGATGGCCTAACACTAAATATATTTAGGTGTGGTGGTACAGTATTATTATTTTGACTAACTGTTTCATCTTTGATTTTTCCTGTCAATAGTGACAATTTATTGTTCAGTAATCGTCTTCATTAGTTTAGATTTTAGTATCATAGATATATAATCATCTCGAAAATTTCAAATTGAAGATCATGAAGGTTTTAATTTAGAATGTGGGTATGTTAACTGAATCATGGTTTCCTACCATAGCTCAGTACCTAGACAATCATCAGCTCTCATCACCAATTGAATTACTTCACTATATCTCAATAGTGTGTTAAACTGTAATAAATCCGTAGCGATTACAGTACACTCTCAGTCTATTCTCAGATCTTCGGTCATGTTAAAATTTGAAATGAGTTAGCATTCAAGATGAGTACATAAAATAATGTATCTTATAGTTGATCACTGTATTTTAATTTAACTTGTAAAGATATTGTACGATAGTCAACATCTCCCTCTAAGTTCTCCAAAATCGTCCTTTTGCTTAAAGTTTGTTTCTTCGACTCATAAACATAGTACAGTTAGAAAGTAGGGAGTATTAACACTTTTATTTGTGTCACCAGTTTTTTTGGCTCACTTATACAAAAGACTTTTTGTCTATAATCAAATTACACCAGTTGTTCATTCTAGATTTCCAACAGAATTCAAAAATAGTGCTTTGTGTTACCTTCGTAGCATGAAATATAGCTTTATAGGTGTTTTGGACGCATTTTTGACCGAATGGTGGGAAAAATGTTGCTTGATATTTATAAATCCTCCTTTGTAAGTCATAATGTAAACTAACGTATATTGATTTGATATGTCTATCCTTCAGGGCACAATTCCATACCACAAGCAAACCACCCTTGCGCCTATTCTTATCAAACCTGCTAACTGCAATGATAATGATCTCTTTGCATACTCTTGTGAAGTCTAGTGTAGATCATGTATATATCACCGAATCTGTTGTGAGATGATTCAGCTAGTTAAATATAATTCCTCACTATTCCATGAAACGTAGTTTCTTTTATCCCAGCACTTTTAAAAGATGTCACCAGCACTACGTAAATAATATTGATAAAACGCAGAGTCATAAAATACCCTCAGCCTGAAATGGTCATGTTACACAAGTGCATAAAGTATTAGCTTCATGATATTTATCATGAATACAATGCTTTCCCATGTTTGTACATCGTTTATTTTGGTTGTTATTATTAACTAATATATAATGTCAGCTGTGAATATAGTATTAGTAGGATATTTTGAAGGTATCCCAATGAACTGAAATCTGGTAATGAACGAATTAACAAAATCATGAACCGATCAGTGCTAGATCATCATTGAAAACCTGGAAGCACTGGACGACCGTTTCGTTCCTAGTATGGGACTCGTCAGTGTGCATCCCCGATTTCGCACGTGGGACTCAAACCAAGGTCCCATACTAGGATGTAACAGCCGTCCAGTGCTTCCAGGTTTCCAATGATGATCTAAGATTGATCGTATCATGATTTCAATGAAACTCAATAATCTCCACGACCCTTTACTGAGGATAAATCAACGTTGAGACTGGAAAAAAATGTTTCAAAGTTACTCTTAAAGTTCATGACTGAACTAGTGGAAAGACCATAATAAATGGACCGATATTAAAATAAAATTGGCTGATAAGATTAGTTAAATGTTTGATGTATATTAAAAGTTAGACATACAAATGGTTTTTGCTCCCATACATCGACAAATGTTATCAGATAAATAAAAATAGATTAATAAGTTAAGACTACTTGTAAGTAGTGTTAGTCTTAACGTTAAATCAACATTACAAACTAACTAAATCTCTTTCACATTATAAATGAATCCCTATAATCATTTGTTAATCTTATTTTTTTTAAGTGGGCATTTATTTTTCTCCATAAAATTGGTCATTTGTAAAGCGACATATATTCATGAAATTTTATTTTCTTATTCATAGGTACAGTCAACCACAACAGTATAAAAAGTTAATCACTTTGCATTGATTGAAATAGGTCTCCAAAACTAAGAAAAATTTAACGACAATTGTGGTGATATTTCATTTGGTTTAAGTTTGTATGACAAAACAAATCATTAAGATTCCTGTTACATATTTAATTAGTCTACATAATATGATATCAGTCAGTCAGTCAGCTACAACGTAGGACCAGGCACATATATGCATCGGTCCAGGTTGCCATACCTCATTAACACAACAAGATGGACACCGGATTCATATAAGTGGTTAATTCAGAGGTGGTAATATATAAAAGAAGGATTGCAATAAGGATATAGTACATGAAGAAAGAATTAGTTCGTAGAAAGAAAGATGTGAAGTGATTTTAATCTCTTAGTTTAAGGGAAGACAAAGAGTGTATACACCGACGCCATTGTGATCGATTCTGAGCCATGTCACCAAGAGTCTCCAACCATTGGTTACGAAAGTCACGCGGACCCCAACCAAGTAGTCTGCATCTACCAACATGGCTCAGACTAGAAGTTAGTGACTTCAGGCACTGATGCCACGTTTTGGTTTGGCCGCCCCTAACTTTCTTCCAACCATCCCAACACCGGTTAGCATTGCACGTCGTGGTAATCGGTGTTCAGGCATACGTAATACGTGGCCCAACCATCTCAGTCGATGAAGATTCATAACCTCATCAACTGATTTACCATCATTCCCTAATACCCTGCGTCTAACCTCACTATTACTTACCCGGTGATCCCAGCAGATGCCAGCAATATTTCTAAGGCATCTGTGGTCAAATACTAGTAGCTTACGGGTGTCTTCTACTCTTAAGGGCCATGTTTCGCTGCCGTAAATTAAAACAGAACGGACTGCCGCGCAGTATACTCGTCCTTTTATTGATAGACGGATATCTCGCCTTCGCCATAGGTGACGTAAGTTGGCAAAAGCCAAACGAGCTTTTCGAATCCGTGCTGAGATTTCGTCAGACACCAACCCATTAGGGCTGATCAGACTTCCAAGATAAGTGAAGTTGTCAACGCGTTCGACTACTTCACTCCCTATCCTTAGTTCAGGTGTTGACGCAGACCAGTCCTGAAGCAACAACTTGCATTTAGAGGGAGAGAAGCGCATTCCAAACATTCTGGCATTGTTGCTTAGTGCTACCAAAAGACTCTGCATTTTGTCAGCGTCTTCACCAAACAGGACTATGTCATCTGCGTATTCTAAGTCGATAAGTGGACCTCCTGGAAGGAGATCAATACCCGAGAATTCAGTCGACGAGAGTGTTATTTCCATCAATAGGTCTATGATGAAGTTAAACAAAAATGGAGAAAGTGGACAGCCTTGACGGACACCACTTGAGGTTGCAAAAGTAGATGACAGTTCGCCATAAGCTCTGACTCGACTAGTAGTGTTCGAGTAAAGAGCCTTCACAAGGTTTATGTACTTCTGAGGTACGCCTTTCAATGACAGACACTGCCACAGAATCTCGCGGTCTACAGAGTCAAATGCTGCTTTTAAGTCAAGAAAGACCACCATTGTCGGACGCCGATAAGTATGCCTGTGTTCTAGAACCTGACGAATGGTGAATATGTGGTCGATGCAGCCACGACCAGGTCTGAAGCCAGCTTGATTCTCTCGTGTTTGCAGTTCACGAGTCTTAGTTAGGCGTCTGATAATTATCGAGGCTAGTATTTTAGATATTATGTTAGTTAAACTAATCCCTCTGTGGTTGTCACAGGATGATTTTGACCCTTTCTTATATATTGGGACGATAAGTGATTGTGACCAGTCAGATGGGATAACGTCTAATTCCCAGATCTTAGCTAAAATATTAGTCAACCTAATCGCTAAAATTGGACCACCATCCTTAAAGACCTCTGGAGCCAATCCATCTGGACCAGCTGCCCTTCCTCGTTTCAGATTAACTATAGCCTTTTGAACTTCAGCAAGAGTTGGGGGACCTACTTCAATGTTCCATTCACACTGTCTGGGAATGGAGGGTAGTTGTAGAGTAGCTGAAGGCCAGCTGAACTGTTCTCTGAAATGTTCCGCCCATCGTTCTAAACGTCTGGACTGGGAGCAGATGAGGGTATCGTCTTTTTCCGAAATAATCTCACTTACACTTGACTTATTAATTCCAGTTTCTTTTATTAGTCTGTAAAGCTGTCTTGTGTTCCCTATAGTCGCCGCCTTTTCCATCTCTTTTGCTTTCGTTACCCACCACTGCTCACGGTCGTTCCTTAGACTTTTTCTTAACCTAGATCTGATTTGTTGTCGCTCTTCATCATGTTCAGAACCTGATGGGACGAGTTTGCGAGAATCCATCAGTGCGATAGACCTTGAAGAAATCCACTGGTTCTTTGTAACTCTGTGGTTTAAGTCACTAATAGATGTCACTGCTGTTTCCACAGCTGTTTGTATGCTTTCCAAGCAACATCTGGGTCAGCCTCGTTTTCAGAACTACCTAAGTGTGACCTCAGTTGTTCCTGGAACCTACTTTTGGTTTTCTCGCTACTCAACTCAGTTCTAATGGGTCTTTTTAATGTGGCTTTTTTGCGTCCAGTGAGGCGCAAGCAGATGCGTGCCCGTATTAGGGCATGGTCGGAGTCCAAGCAGGTAC